ATTGGGCTACCATAATTCTTGATGAAGTTAAAATATATGTTAATAAGTATCTGTCTTCTCTATCTAGGTTGTCTGGAATTATATTTAACAAGTATATTTCTGGTACCAAATCCACATTAATATCCATCATTTCTAATATAATCTGTTTTATACTTTTCCAAAACGTTTGCATCCTACAACATTTCCACCATATGTGAAAAAACGTTCCTATATTATTCTTACATTTCCAGCAATTTTTTTAAGTTTGAGGTGCAAATTTTCCAATTTTATCTGGTGACCAATACCAATATAGAAGAAGAAGAATTAATATATAGTAGTCAGAAGAAGAAGAAGAAGAACTAATATAGCAATGAGAAACTCAAACATATGTGGTCCAAATACAGAAACAGTCCTATTAGTAGTCCACCTTTCGAAATAGTCCCAAGTCAAATTTTCTCAAACAGTGAAAAGTCCAAATAAAGATGTTAATTCCTCTTCAAAAAACTTGTCTCGCCGCTTTTTCACTGTTTGAGGAATCTGACTTGGACTGTTTCTGAAGGTGGATTAAATGAACGTTGAATATATATATATTTTTCGGTACTTATGCACGGCCTGGTCTTTTGTATCTTTTGTATTACTCTCTTCCGTGTTTCTCTGTTGTTTGGGTTTCTGCCTGGCGGTTGGCAACCCTAAAATGGGACCAGGGAGTGATCTTGCTCCTCCCCCCCTTTTGTGAATATTTTTGAACTCTTTGGGCATCACTGTTTCAGCTGTCCTGCTTTAAGGGCAGCCCCGTGTCCCCCTTTCCCCCTATAATCTGAGCACTGGCCAAAAACAGGGAAAGGGAACAGAAAACAGAGCCCACTCAGACAACAGGAGACCTGCAATTCTGAAAACAGGTAATGCACACCTTAAGTGCTTCTTCATGAGGCTCTTGCTAAGGCCCATCTGCCGTTTAACTTGCTTTTCTTCTCGACTGGCTTCCTTTGGTCTGTTGCATCCAAATATCCTCTCCCCCGTGGACCATTCGATCTCAGGCCCCCGCAGAGCCTCGAGCGGCAATTGTTGCCTCATTAGCAAATTGAGTTAAGCGGAGCTAGCTTCATTCGGAGTCTCCAGGCAGGCTCCCCGAGTCTCAATGTTGCCCCCACCCTCATTTTGTTTCATTAGAGATGTTCTTGTCTCTCTTCCTCATCAACAAGCTATTTACTTCCCACACACTCTTTGGTCTGTTTTGCAGCGGGGACCGCATGGTTTTCTTGGACCAGCGTCGAATTACTGCCAAACAAAAAGGCCGAGCCCATTTTAATTGCAGCAACCAAAGCCCGGCAGCAGAGTATATTGGCGCTTTTCTGAAAGGTATGGCTGCCAGCCTCTACCTCCTTAGGCAGGAGCTAGAGTAGTAGAAGAGAAAAAGAAGAAGAGATTGGATTTATATCCCACATTTCACTACCCAAAGGAGTCTCAGAGCGGTTTACAAACTCCTTTCCCTTCCCCTCCCCTCCCCCCAACAGACACCCTGTGAGATAGGTGGGGCTGAGAGAGCTCTGGCAGAAACTGCTCTTTTTCAAGAACAGCTGTGCCAGAACTATGGCTTGCCCAAGGTCATCCAGCAGGTGCAAGTGGAGGAGATAGCACTGACTTGCTTTGCAGGACTGTTGGAAGAAATGACTGTGATAAGGCATGCAAATGCTCAATATTATTAGTTCTGTGCACTTTCTCTGCTTTTGGTAGTTTTGGATGTATAGCTGTATGGACAGATCGTAAGAGCATCAAAAGAGCCCTGCTTGAGAAAACCAGTGGTCCATCTAGTCCAGCATCCTGTCTCACACAGTGATCAACCTGTTTCTCCAAGGGGCCAGCAGCAGGGCATAGAGGCCCTGAGGTTGCCCCCTGGCTCTGGGATCGAGGTTGACTGCCTTTGGATGTGGAGGTCCTCTTTAGTTGCCCTGGCTAGTAGCCACTGATAGACCTATTCTCCATGAATCTGTCTAATCCCCTTTTAAATCTGTGTATGCCCATGGCAATCACTACATCCTCTGGAAGCAAATTTCACATTTTAATCACTCGCTGTATAAAGAAGTATTTCTTTTTGTCTATCTTGAATCTGCTGCCCATCAGCTTCATTGGATGCACTCGAGTTCTAGTATTTGGGGACAGGAAGAAAAGGTTCTCTTTGTCAATTCTCTCCATCTCCATGCATCTTATATATATAATTATCCTAACACGTTGGCCATTTCCAGCTCTCCCATTAGCTGTGCTGTGTGTTCCATCAGCCATTGGCCCATCAACTTCCACTCAAGAGTAATCGTGTGCCATTGGCTGGGTGCTGGGTCCTCTCCTCTTCCCCACCCACTGCCACCTCAGCTACTGTTCCCTGTCAGAATAACTGCCAAAACAGCTGTCTCTCCTGATGAAGGCACTTCTCCTGCTTGGTTCCTGTGGGACTAACTTTTCCCTCAGTGGCTGTTGCTAGGCAACCAAGCTTGGTTCTGTCAGTAAAAAGGCAAAGCCAGGAGGCCATTTCCAGGCCTTTGTGAGGAACTCATTGGGGCCAATCCTGACTCGGGTTGCCAGCTCCAGGTTGGGAAATTCCTGGAGAGTTTGTGCTGAAGTCTATGGAAGCCAGGGTTGGGGAGGGGAGAGGCCTCAGCTGAATAGAATGCCATAGAATCCACCCTCCGCAGCAGTTATTTTCTCCAGGGGGAGAGAGAGAGATCTGTTGTCTGGAGTTCAGTTGTGATACCAGGCGATACCACAGCCAGTGTGGCATAGCAGTTAACACTTCAGAGCAGGGTCTGCCAGATCAAAAGGGGGAGAGGAGAATTATGTAAGCTGCTTTGGTCCCCACTGCAGAGAAAGATTGTACCTTTCCTCCTGGGGAACCATTGTTGCCAATCTCCAGGTGAGGGCTAGAGATCACTCAGAATTACAACTGCTCTCCAGGAGGCAGAGATCAGTTCCTCTGGAGAAAATGGTGGACTCTGTGTCCTTATACCCTGCTGAGAGGGCCCCCCATGACAGCCAGTGTGAAGTAGCAGTTAGTGCTTCAGAGCAGGGTAGAGGCTGCAGGTGAGGGGGAGAGATGGAAAGCCCAAGTCAGAAGGGCAGATAAAGATAGGTTGATGATTGCCCGGGAAGGAGATAGGGTTGCCAACTCCAGGTTTGGAAATTCCTGGAGATTTGAGGGGTGGAGCATGGAGAGGGTGGGATTTGAGGAGGGGTGGGACCTCAGACAGCAACAATGCCATAGACTCCACCCTCCAAACCAGCCATTTTCTCCTGGGAACCACTGTTGCCAATCTCCAGGTGTGGGCTGGAGATCATTCAGAATTACAACTGCTCTTCAGATGGCAGAGATAAGTTCCATGGAGAAAACAGTAGACTCTGTGTCATTATACTTTGTTGAGGTCACCACAGCAAATCGACGCTGAGTGCCCAAGGCCAGGACACCTGCCCAGAGCCTCTTTCTAGAGCCACAACAGGACTTACTCCTATTAATATATAAAAGCCAAGCCATGCTGGCGATGACTCACCACTGGGGAAGCTGCCTTGATGCCAATTGGCCTGTCCCACTGGCTGCTCCATTCTTATACCCCCACTTTTGACGCATTGCAGCTTGGGAGTTGTAGTTCTCAGCTAGCCTTACTGCAGCCATAGCAAAGGGAATTAGAATGACAGCTCCCAAGTTGGGAGTCCCAAGAGGCTGTGGGGCATTAGCAGGGAGTCAGTTGAAGTGTTAAACAGTTAAACTGTTAAACAGGAATTTGGGGAAAGGGAAGGCTTGGACATGTCCCTGAATTACAATTGATCTCCACACTACATTATCTCTTTTCTAAACTGAAAAGTATCAGACTCTTCAGCCTTTCCTCATAGGGAAGGTGCTCCAAGCCCCTCATCATCTTGGTTGCCCTGTTCTGGTTGCCCTGATTTGACTGCTGTTCAAAAAGTCTAGTAGACCTGTTTCTGGGCCACACCACTTCAGAGGATAACATTTAGAGTGAGGGGGGAGTCTCTTAACTGAATGCTCCCCCATTAATAAAAAGAGTCCCCTGCACAGGAAAGTAGTGGATCTTCCGAAGGAATATATTTCTTGTGAGGGACGGCTACCATGGTCCAGTAGCCAAGCAAGGAAGAATGGCCAACTGTGCCTCTCCAGTTCAAGGCCATGGTGTCACATTTAAATATTTATTTATTTTATTTATATTTATTTGTTGAATTTATACCCCTCCCTCCCCCGTAGGGCTCAGGGCGGCTTACATAGTATAAAACTTGCTCATAAAAACATCAAATACTTTAGTACAAAAATACAATATACAATTTAAAACCCAAACAAACAATAAAGTGCTCAACTACATAGCATCCATTTCAGAATATCAGAGAGGACAAAACCACAAAACCCAAACATCCCCCGGTAGGCATTGCATAGTAAATGTTGAACAGATGTTCCTCCTACCCTCCTAGGGCCCTCAACCCCCCCACATTGATGGTAATATAGCAGGGGGGGGCGGCAGCGGCCCCTAATCAAAGGCCTGGTGGAAGAGCTCCGTCTTACAGACCCTGCGGAATTGCACCAGGTCCCGCAGGGCCCGGATCTCCTCTGGGAGCTCGTTCCACCAGGTGGGGGCCGCCACCGAGAAAGCCCTAGCCCTCGTGACGGCCTACTTAGCATCCTTGGGGCCCGGTATAGTTAGAAAATTTTGGGCCCCTGACCGTAGCGCTCTTGGGGGAACATACGGGGAAAGGCAGTCCCTCAGGTAGGCTGGACCCAGACCATATAGTGTTGGGTTAGGAGTCTGGGCACACCCAGGTTCAACCCTGCTATGCAAGCCACAAATTTTGTAATCCATTTTTTAAGTCTGTTGGTTTTAGTACTGTTTGTTGAATCCTGTTCCTCTTGCATTGTTTTAAAGTGTGTTGTCTTCCTTGAGCCACAGCAAGAAAAGCAGACTATAAGTGAAGCAGATAGACAAACAAACAAACATGCCCAACCTTAAGCTCATGCTGTTGCTTTATTTCAGGTGACGATGGCACTGTTGGGGAAGCTCTCTGATGGGCCACCAAACAACTCCAGACCCGACCAGTGGCACTTGGTATTCTCTCAGAAAGATGAAGTTATCACCAGTTTAGTATCTGCCTTAGATTCTATGGTAAGTTTTTGGCAAATATTTATACTGTGCTTTTTTCCCCAATGGGGATCCAAGTTGGCTTGCAGCGTTGTTCGCCATCTTAACAACAACACCCCTATGCCAAGATGGGTATCTCCAGTGGAAGCCTTTTCTCATCCTTGACTTCAAAACAAGCAAATATTAGATACGCAGAATTTTTAGATGATGGAAATAATTTAAAATCTCAGGAAGAATTAAAGGGAAATAACCTTAGATTGGTGGACTAGAGTGCAAGTGGAATCTAGATGTAGTAAGGACAGATGGATTCTATTCAGAACAATGTGCATTTGAAAAATTATTATGTACCTCAAGAGAGAAAAGAAAATGTATGGTATGCTGATGCAATTGAAAATGCAGGACGAAATAGTTAAAGAAGGTATGGTTAGATGGATGCAAAATGTCGGTTATAACATAGGTCTGTCACAGTGGAGTAAAATATGGAAAGTGAATTTTAAGTTGGCTAAATCTGCTTCATTCAAAGAAAATTTATATAAAATGTTCTATAGATGACATCTAACCCCAGATAGGTTAGCTAAAATGTATAAAAATTTGAGTAACAGGTGTTGGAAATGTAACAAATGTTGGATCATACTATCATATGTGGTGGACATGTAAAAAGGTTAATAAATATTGGATTGAAATACATGCTTTCTTACAGTCAATCTTGAATATTACAATACCTTTTAAGCCAGAGATATTTCTGTTACACTGTTTACCAGATGACTTAGATAAGAATCATAGATACTTTGTTTTACATGTTATAACAGCAGCCAGAATTTCATTTGCAATGACATGGAGGACATTGAAGATCCCAGCGTTGTATGAGTTCATATTAAAGATTATGGAATGTGCTGAAATGGACAGATTGACAAATATATTAAAAGGAAAAATGGAAGAAGAATTTATGGGATCTTGGAGGGCGTTTTATGACTTGTTAAAACTTAAGAACTGAGAAAATAAGATTAAATGAAGAATAATAAGAATGATAGATGTAGTAGTTGTGAAGTTATAATGAGAAGATTTGCATGCAGAATCTTAAATTGGATTTATACACACACACACACACACACACTTCTGTATTTTTCCTTTTTTCCCTTCTTTCCCCTTTCCATTCCTCTGTGCATAAAATAAAATTATTTAAAACAACAACAACCCTATGAGGGTGAGCTAAGCTGACAGGGGAGGTGACTAGCCCAAGATCAGCCATGGCAGATTGGGGCTTAAGCAAACTCCGGAGGACAGAGGAAGACAGGAGGGCCTGACATGATGTGGTCCACGGGGTCGCAAAGAGTCAGACTCGACTGTGCAACTGAACAACAACTACCTAGTCTGAGATCCCAACTAGATGGGAAATCCGACATGAGTTGGATTGGGGGTCCCCGTCTATGTTCCTTCTACAGTCAGACATGATGTAAAAGACCTGATTTTACAAAACAAATGTTCCTGAGCATGCCAGGGCCCAATTCGGCTTAGGGTCATAACCAGTGTTCCCTCTAAGCCAAGTTAGTGTGAGCTAACTCACAGTGTTTTAGCCTCTGTCTCACACATTTTTATCTTAGCTCAGGAAGGATGGCTTCAGAGCAAACTAATGTATGCAGTAGCCAAATCCGTTGCTCACAACTTTAATGCCAGTAGCTCACAAAGTAGGATTTTTGCTCACAAGACTCCACAGCTTAGAGGGAGCATTGGTCATAACATGTGTGGAGAAGGGGCTTCGGCCTTTCCTCCCGCTCACTGTTTTCATGAGCCAAAATGTCTCCACCGTCAGGTCAGATCAGAGGCCTGGAGCCTTTAAGAGCAGCCGCGTTTCCCTTTTAAGTGCACGAAGCTGGCATTTCCCTGCAAGCCTGATCTCAAGCGGAGATTGGGCTTGGGAGGAAACACAGGCTTGGGAGGAAACACGGGTTCCACACACTTAAAGGGAGAGAGACGGGTGGCTCTGGGTGTTGGGGCTTCCCCCGCTGGCCATCTGGCCGGCAGCGGGTAGAACCCCCCCAAAACGGGGGACCCCTGGCAAACCGGGGGGGGGGGGTTGGCAACCCTAGTTGTCACACAAAGTAGGATGTGTACACCCTGGTTCTGTGACCAGTGTGCATAGGCCTCTACGCAGATGTGATGTCCAGTGTGTTCAGGGAGCGAGGCTGGTAGGTACCATTAGGGCTCTTTTTGTAGCAGGAACTCGTTTGCATATTAGGCAACGCACCCCTAATGTAGCCAATCCTCCAAGAGCTTACAATAGCCCCTGTAAGAAGAGCTCTGTAAAGCTCTTGGAGGATTGGCTACATTAGGGGTGTGTTGCCTAATATGCAAACGAGTTCCTGCTACAAAAAGAGCCCTCACGTTGCTACTGTGTGAACACCTATGCAGACCGCTGGTAATTCTCTTATGAGAATCGAATTACATTCATTCCTCCCCCCCCCCTTGTCTGTAATAACTTTCCTTTTGGACCTTAAAGCCCCTATCTCCCCCCTCATCTCTAATTACACAAATGATTGTTCTTCATCAGAAGCCTAAAAATGTTCCTTGCCTCCCATTTGCTGGGTTTCTGTGACATCACAACATGTTTGGAAAACATTCTAAACGCTGCAGCAGGCTGGCCAGTCGTGGAATGCGGCAAATCAGCACTGCTGCTGTGAAGCAGATGGGTCTGGCTGCAGCGACCATTTCGGAAGGCCTAAGGACAGGAGAGGAGATATGATTTTGTTGGAAAAGTTGCTTGGGCTGTTGGGGGGAGAGGGGGAGAGATTCAACAAACATTCCTTTCTCTAGGCTGCTTAGAGGCTTTGGGATCTGAAGTGAAAATCGTTTTGTCTCATCCACTGTCAGAAGGGTATTTTTTTCTTTAAAGTCAATCTTTAAAAACACAGATTGTGTTTCTCTGTTAACCTTTATGCCGGAATCTGCTGTTTTGATAGTCCCGTATGTTTTACCACTCTCTTTGTTGCTTTTCCACAGCAAGATGTCAAAGGCTTTCTCCCCCTCCTATGACAAAGACAATAAATTGCATGAATATCTTTCTCCCCTTCCCCTTATTGGGAAAAAAAAATCCAAGTGGAACTCTTACATAAGACAGCCTTGTTTCCATGAACAAGATATCTTCCTGGCGACGTCTCTTGCAGGGAGGCTGTATCTTATTTTTAAGTGTGAATGAAATCAGACAAGGAAGTGTGTGTGTGTGTGTGTGTGTGTGTGTCTTTGCAGCATTAGAGCTCAAGAAAAGAGCTCTTTGAATATAAATTGGGTCAGTCTCTTAAAAAAACACAAGCCCTAGTCAATTCAGTGGTAGGAGTTGTAGTCCGCGGCTTAATTAAGCAGTTCCATTTGCATATGTTTGCCTGTGAAAATGTGGCATTGCCTTATGCTGAGTCAGATCAGTAGTCATCAGAGCCCAAAATGGCTAATTTCAACTGGCGGTGGCTCTCCTGGGGGTCTCAGGCAAAGGAAGGTCTTTTCCAGCCACTGATGCTTGAAATCCTTTAATTAGCAATGCCAAGGATTGAAGCAGGGACCGTCTGCATGCCACACAAATGCTCTACTGCTGAGTAAAAATAGTAGTTCTAAGGGAAACAGCCTACTCACCTCTGTTTTAGAGAATGCATGCGTTCATCATCTTTAGAGAGGTATTCCGTCCCATGTGGTTTGACTTGGCCGTATGTATCACAGGTAGGCAACATAACAATTAATCGTATGGCATTGTGTGTAGAATAGCCAGGAGATCCGAAGATTGTCTGGCCACCAGAAGTTCTAGCTCTTTTAACATTATGCACCACTAGGTGGCGACCTAGACTTGTTTTTAAGGCAAGAGACATTTCAGAGGTGGTTTGCCATTGCCTGCCTCTGTGTCGCAGCCTGGTATTCCTTGGAGGTCACCCTTCCAAATACTAGCCAAGGCTGACCCTGCTTAGTATCTGAAATATGACGAGATCAAGCTAGCCTGTATTATTCAGGTCAGGGCACACATAATAACAACTATCATCATCATCATCTTCACAATCAACTAAATAATAATACTTAAAAACATCATTCTAAGATGGTAGAACCTCTGTGTGTGTTTTGCTGAGCTAAATCAAGAACAAAACAAATCTAAGCGAATTTTCTGTTCACAAAACCCTCCAACGTAGAAAACGAATGAGCCCAGGGCCAGTGTCAGCATACCCTCGGGAGGGCAGGGACCAGGACTTCAGGTGGGGCCCACAGCTGCTGACCCCCCTCTAACATGCCATTTCCCTGCCTGCTCACTTGTAGGTGCTCTATCGCCCATGGATCCAGCTACACGCACTGCCCAGTGCCATCAGGGATAGGGCTGTGGGCAATGCAGCTGGCTGTGAGCTTGGGCAGTAGGAGGACTTGTGAGCAGGGCAGGGAAGGATGCACAGGCTGGTAGTGAGTCACATGGGTGGGGGTGGGAAGGGGAGCCCCTGGGAACTCTGAGAAATCTGGAACTGGCCCTGAATGAGCCAGTGTAGTGTAGTGGTTGAGAGTGTCAGACTAGTATCAATCAGACCCCGGTTCTAATCCCGACTCGTGCCACTGAAGTTCACTGGGTAGCCTTGGGCCAGTCGCACACTCTCAGCCTAACCTACCTCACAGGGTTGTGGTGAGGATAAAATGGAGGAGAGGAGGATAATGTGAGCTGACTTGGGTCCCCATTGGAGAGAAAGGTGGGGGTAGAAATTATTTAAATAAGCAACGGAATCAAAGAGTTCAGCACAGTTTCTTATAACAGAACACACAGGCAAAACAGTGAACATGCAGCAGATAGTCTCTCCGAGTTCCATTAAACAACAGATTCTTGCTTGTAAAACCTCGGTGGCGAGCCAAGTGCTTTTGTCCCTCAAAGTGCTGGATTCTGTCGATGCACTCCTTGGGGAAACAAAAAAAGGAGTTTGTTTCCAACAAATTGGACAGACTCCAACCTGCTGCTTGAAAGACAGTCTTCAAACATTATAACAGCAACACCAGTTCTAATCCCCCTGTTACTAACTTTTCACATACATAATTTGTCAGTTGCCTCACACAAGGCGATAAGCACCTGGCAAATCGTCAGCTCCCTTAGCAAAACAGGCTCTCTCTGTTTGCTGACCTCCAGGCCCAGACTCGGCCCCTGCTTGCCTAAAGGAGCAATCCTAAGCAATCTACTCAGAAGTAAAGTCCAGTGTTAGTTTATAAGGAAATAAGGAGAGCCAGTTTGGTGTCGTGGTTAAGTGCGCGGACTCTAATCTGGGAGAACCGGGTTTGATTCCCCACTCCTCCACTTGCACCTGGCTGGATGACCTTGGGCAAGCCACAGCTCTGATAAGAGCTGTTCTTGAAAAAAAGAGCAGTTTCTGTCAAGAGCTCTCTCAGCCCCACCTACCTCACAGGGTGTCTGTTGTGGGGAGGGGAAGGGAAAGAAGTTTGTAAGCCGCTCTGAGACACCTTTGGGTAGTGAAGGGCGGGGTATAAATCCTATCTCCTCCTCCTCCTCCTCCACCTCCTCCTCCTCCTCCTCCTCCTCTTCTTCTTCTTCTTCTGCTTCTTCTGCTTCTGCTTCTTCTTCTTCTTCTTCTTCTTCTGCTGCTTCTTCTTCTTCTTCTTCTTCTTCTTCTTCTTCTTCTTCTTCTTCTGCTGCCACAGTGGCTCCTACCATCTGTGGATAAGTACATGCAACAAAAATAATATCTTCAAATCTGAACCTTTTTAGTTAGTTGAAAGGTGTTCAATTGATTAACCAGTTTGAACTTCGTATCTGCAGAAGTGTGCCTGCACACAAAAGTGCATACCCAGAATTAAACTTTGTAGGTCTTCAAGGTGCGGCTGGACCCCAGCTTTGCTCTGCTACTTCAGACCAACACGGCTCCCCCACCTCACTCCAAACTTTGCAACCCGACTTAAAACTCCATTCCTGGAGACTTGCTTCTTTGTGGAATAAAATCCTCTCCTTCACATTCTTGGCACTCTGGCAGAATGTCATGCTCAAGGTCTCTCCCTCTGCACTGACCAACCATTCCTGGAGCCTTGGGTAGAGAAGGTTGAAATTGGTTCAAATATGTAATGTAGACATGCCATTTTGTGCATAGATTTATGTTCAGAGTTCTGGCTGCTGCTGACTTTCAAAACTAGTAGGTTCTCCAGAATATGGAAGCAGCGAGGAGTTTTGTGTTGTTGCTATAATTAATGAACTAAAACAGGTTTTTTTGGGGTAATTGCAACTTCTCGAGTTTCTCCAAAGGCAGGCCCACGCAGAAGGTTTCGAAGAAGTGAGCAGTGACTCACAAAAGTTCAAACTCTGCCACAAATTTTGTTAGTCTTTATGGTGCTACTGGACTCTCGCTCTTTTCTACTGCATGCAGAGGGTGTTGCAATAGTCCGTTCTAGAGAAGACCCCAAAGCCTGATGGACATGCTCTCTCTTTCGATGTTCCCAATTGTCCTTCTTTCTCTCCTTTCCCCCAGTGTTCAGCACTTTCTAAACTCAACACGGAGGTTGCCTGCATTGCAGTTCATGATGAAAACACCTTTGTTGTCGGAACAGAGAAGGGGAGGGTCTTCATGAACACGCGGAAGGAGGTCCAGGTGGATTTCAAGAAGTTCTGCAGTGAGTGTTGCGGTGGATTTCTGTAGAGAATTTCTGTTGACCCCCTTTTAAAAAATATATATATGTAGAAATCCTCAGTGTGTAGAGTAGGGCTTTGAATACCAAACGCGCTATCAAACCAACATGTTGGGTTTTGCTCTTCCATCTTTGTGCTGCGATTGTATACTTTCAACCCTTCTCCCCCGGTTACTCTCATCTTGTTTCATTCACGGTTATTATACGGGTTTGCATGTGTGTTTTGGAGCTGCGGTGGCTCAAGTGGTTAAGACGCTGAACTGCAGGCTGTGGAAGGTCAGTAGTTCAGCAGTTCGAGACCCAGGTTGCCGCCTGACGGAGTGAGCTCCCGTCTCTGGTTCCAGCTCCTGCCAACCTAGCAGTTTGAAAGCAAGAAATTGCAAGTAGATAAATAGGTACCACTTCAGTGGGAAGGTAACAGCGTTCCGTGCGCCTTGGCGTTTAGTCATGCCGGCCACATGACCATGGAAACGTCTTCGGACAGCGCTGGCTCTTCGGCTTTGAAACGGAGATGAGCACCGCAACCCTAGAGTCGGACTCGACTGGCTTTCGAGCAAGGGAAACCTTTACCTTTACCTTTTGGATTTTAGTGTTTGCTCATTCCTCTCGTAAGCCCCCATTCATATGGAGCTATGGCAAATAAATGCTCCAAATGAATAAGGATCCTGAATGTGGCGCATCAAAGCAGGTAGCTGGTTCTGCAATTTGGGAGTCCGTTCCTGAGATTCCTGTTTAGCAGTGACCACCAACCTAATAAACATTGGCTTGGATCCATCAGCGCATTTCTACAAATGGAAGGATTTCCACCTGCAGTGTGACTTTCTTGGTTCCCTTCTCCCATGGCAGGACAAAATGCCCCCCCCCCCCGAAATGCTGTTCATTGGGGCTCCATCAGAATAAGCAGTTCAGGGGGCATTTTGGCCTGTAGAACGAGCAGGAAAGTGAGAAACTCCTGCTGCACAGATGAACATGCTTCCATCCATGGAAACGCTGCGCTGTTAGTGCTTGGATGGGAGATGACCAAGGAGGTCTAGGGTCACAACACCGAGGCAGGCAATGGAAAACCACCTATGGTAGTCTGTTGCCTCGAAAACCGCGTGAGAGGTCGCCATAAGTTGGCTCTATCTTGATGGCACTTTCCACCATGGATGCAGTTTCAAGAAGGCTATGGTCTTTGGGGAGAGTCTTTCTTGTGCACTTGGTCAGCTCTGGAGGTTCTAGAATGCGCAGTTCTGGAATACTCACTTTACATTGTTACTTTACCTTGTCGCTTTTTACGTAGTACCATTTTGCTCTGCTGTGAATTTTTGAACTACACGAACGGTCCTTTGAAACAGCACCTTTCCCCGGCCCGTCACTGCTAGTTTTGTGTCTAGCTGTGTCGTGGGTCCTGGCTCTGCTGAGGCTGACTACTCCTCAGACGAGGAAGAGGCAGGGAGCAACCCAGCCTCCTCTGGAGTCAGCCCAGAAGAAGAACCCTCAACAGTACCTGAGGATGAAGAGTCCCCAGCAGCTGCACAGGAGGTGCAGCCAGAAGGAGAGGCTGATCCTGAGCCTGGCCCAGCAACCCCAGTTGCAGACACCCCGAGGCCAGACTCCTTGCCTAGATCTGAGGTCCCCAGACTTAGGGCACGCCAGAGGCTGACTATGCAGGAGCGAAGGAGGAGTGCCAGACCGCAGCTCCTGCAAAAGCAGAGGGAAGAGCTGTAAGCCTTTGCAGACTCAACCCCAGGGAAGGAAGGACCTGTTCAAAAGCACTCAGTGCCACCTGGTTCAATGTGGCAGCAACTTTGCTCACTCACACCTGTTCCTGTGTGTGTAGCAGCTGCTCCTTGTCCTTGAATCCTGCAATTGACTTCTCGGCTATCCAACCTTAGGCTCTGCGGCTTACCTTGATTCCGGACGGTGTTTCCAGTGTGTAGTCTCTGTGGCAACCAGCCAAGACAGCACAAGCTGCATATGTGACAAAGACCTACTATACCTGGAGTCACTCAGGGCCAGATTAGATGTTATCGCAGCCATCTTGAATTGGTAGGGGACTGATTCTGTCCTCTCCCTACAGCTTCTCTCCCTAGCTGCTTGTTTCTTCAGAGTGTTTTTTTTTTACCGTGTTGCCCTCCATGAACTTGGGAGGAGAGGCCTTGGAGCTGCCGCTGCTATGGAAGCCAATGGGGAGGGATGTGATTTTTCCATCTCTTCTGTGACTCTTTATAGGCCTTTCCCCCTCATAACATGGATTTACTGTGCACTTTATGGGGAAAGCTCACTATGAGGAAGCAAGGAGTGAAAATAAACAACCCTGGATTTGATTGGCAGAAGGCAAACCAGAACGGGTATTTTTGGGACTCGGAAGTTGCATGGAGGAGAAATTTGAAATTGTCCCTCGCTATAGCCCTAGGCCTCTTGCAAGAGGAATATGAACAGACAGAAGTGGCCCAAGGTCACGGCCTAGGACAGCCCATATAGATTTGCCAGCCTTTTTGGGGGGGTAAAGTTAAGCAACCACTAACTCATTTGTTTCTGTAATTAGCATAACCATCCGATATAGCAGTGCAAGACTTTTTAAAGGGGAAAACCAACCTTTTCCTTCATGGTAATTTTTTCCCCACCAGAAAAAGCCACCCATGAATGGCTTTTACCTCCCACTGCAGAAAACTTATCTACCCATCTATTCCCCTCCCCTTAGTAGAATTAAAAGCAATTTGGAGGTGGTGGGGAAATGGCCAGGGAGGAAAGGGTTAAACCACACACACACCCATCCCATTCACCTTGATAAAGGAAACCAGGCAGCCAAAGTTGCAAGGGAAAACAAAGGCGTTTAAAAGAAGCTTTGAAAGGAATTGCGCACTGTAGCTGAGTCCTCGATCTTCCCCTGTTAATTTGGACTCATGGTGTGTGGCTGGGGGAGGGGCCCGGTTGCTAGCAGAACTGGGTCTGTGCCCTGGGATGAGGGGAGAGAAAGAACATATTTGTTTAGTTATAATCCTGAGGGTTTTATTGCAGTACAAAAAAATAATAATCAGGCAACGGGGAGTGCCAGCATGCACGATACTGGTGGAAAGCGCATTTGCGTTTGCGTTTAATCCCCTCGGTGGAACTGCTCAAGAACAGTTCATTCTCCTGCAAATATTAGCCCTGCTCGCCTGTCAAGGTCAATGCCTGCTTGGGATTATCTGCTGAGTGCGTGCCAGCTGTAACATTCGCCCCAGGTCTAATCCATCGCGAGCATTCAGCATTTGGCAAAGATCTCTTTCTCCTGGTCTGCTGTGTACCTTACCTTGTTTTGTGTGGCCCAAGAGTTACAGCATAGTGGTTTGACTTCTTTTAATTAAAAAAAAGACCTTAATGTGTTATCAACTGCATGTAATAGTCAAGCAGCTGGCCTTTTTGTGACCGACAAAATCCACACAATGGGGCCACGTACAGGCAAGATAAGGGTCTCCTGCTACTCAGGGGCACTCTCAACGTATATGGAGAAACAGCGAATGGAACAAAAATGTGTAACTTAACAAAAGAAAAACCTCTGGGGGGAAAAACCCACCCGAAGAGGATGGAAGTATGCATCAGAAGGGGTAGAATGCTGAGGATACCTGTGCTGAATGGAAAAAGTGGGGTGAGGGGAGAAAAACAGCCTGCTTCGTCCTGGAGGGGGAGATTGGGGTTGTGGTTTTTTTTTTCAAATTTGGCTGCCTCCCCATCTTCTCAACATCCCCCCAATTATTCAAGTGGGTTGCCCATGTCAATCATGACAAAAACAAAGCCAGGACATCTACAAACAAATTAGGAATTTTGTATAGTTGGCTCAAGTGGTTAAGATGCTGAGCTGCAGACCGGAAGGTTGGTAGTTCAGCAGTTCGAGACCCGAGTGCCGCATGACGGAGTGAGCTCCCGTCTCTGGTCCCAGCTTCTGGCAGTTCGAAAGCAAGAAATTGCAAGTAGATAAATAGGTACTGTTTCGGTGGGAAGGTAACAGCATTCCGTGTGCCTTGGTGTTTAGTCATGCCGGCCACATGACCACGGAAATGTCTTTGGACAGCGCTGGCTCTTCGGCTTGGAAACGGAGATGAGCGCCGCATCCCTAGAGTCAGATTCGACTGGCTTTCGAGCAAGGGAAACCTTTACCTTTACTATAGTTGGGAGGGACTCCTCAGGTACGTGGGGAACTAGATCAATTAATTAACCCAAAGTAGGGTTGCCAGGTCCTGGGGATTCTGGGTCCTTGTTGGGATCTTCTGCCGGACACGCTTTGCGCGCACGATGCAATGATGTCACCCAGAAGTGGTATCATCACATTGCCGGCATTGGGGGGGAGTGATGCTCTAGTTTTTGTGCAAAACTCTATGGTTTGTCACTAATTTTACCACAGAGTTTTGCCCAAAAAGTAGAGTGTCACCATGTGATGTTGTGACGTGATGATGTCACTTCCAGATGACGTCATCACATCGCCTTTCCGGCCAGTTAGGGGATGGGATTTCCCTCTGCTGGCCAGCTGACTGGCGGCAGAGAAGCGCCCCACAAAAGCAGGGGTCTGGCAGCCCTAAACAAAAGGGGGGGGGAAATCCCCGGAGACTTTTCCTGAAGGACTGAGCATGCTCTGGGAGGCATAGAATGTTGAATGCAGTTGACATTTGAAGGGAGAAACCACATAGGAGGATTGACCCACTCCGGCATCTAAAGGCAAGGGATGCTATTTTTTGCTGTATTCTAGCCACCTTTCCCCTGACTCCTAATATTTATTTTATGATTATGGTTGTATTTTAACTGTGCGTTTTGTTTTTAAATTGGAAGATGCAAATATTTTGAAATTGCAAGATGCAGATATTTTGAAAAAATAAATAAATTTGCTGTGTTGGCTACCATGGGATGCATAATGGAAAATACTTGCTATGTACTGGAAAGAGAGACAGGTTTTCTCCAATGACAAAATCTAGTGTTAGGTTGATACGCCAGCATTTCCAAAACTCTGAAAAAGTGTCATCCTTTATATACAATTCATAAAAGGTCAAAGCCCCTTCAATAAACAAGGTCTGTAGCTGGGCATTCCATACCTGGAGGAATAAAGTACAAAGCCACTGGAAACAACCCACTGTTCCAAAAGGAACTCAGAGCAGCATACATAGGATTTCAGGGTGCTTTCCTTCATTTTAACCCAAAACCACCTTGTAAGTTATATTAGGATGAGAAATGAAGACTGGCCCGAGATTATCCAGAGAACTTCAGGGCTGAGCAGAAATTTGAACATACGGTGCTCAGGCAAAGGAGCCCCCAGGGCTTAACAGAGATATTGGGTTTTTATCTCACTACACATGCGAAGTCTTGCAGTTCTCCCAGAATTAAACTTTAAGAGAACATAAGAGAAGCCAAAGTTGGATCAGGCCAATGGCCCATCCAGTCCAACACTCTGTCACACAGTGGCCAAAAATACCAGGTGCCATCAGGATGTCCACCAGTGGGGCCAGAACACTAGAAGCTCTCCCACTGTTGCCCCCCCCCCACAACCACCAAGAGTACAGTGCATCACTTGCCCCAGCCCGAGAGTTCCTATCTATACCTTGTGGCTAATAGCCACTGATGGACCTCTGCTCTGCACTGATGGACTAACTTTGTTGGTCTTAAAGGTACCACTGGACTCAAACTTAGTTCTCGCATCTCTTTGTTAACTCTTCCATTATCTATATTCTAATTTGTTGCTATTCACAAGTTTTACTGACTGCTTTAATCCAATCTTAGCTATACTTATCACACAGTTACTTATGCATCTTGACTCTAATTTAACCTTTCCTGGCAACTAACCACCCTACCACCTTTCTACCTATATGTAATGATTGAGGAAGTCTTGTTTCAAGGTATCTGAAGGAGTGTGCATGCACATGAAGGCTTATACCCAGAATTAAACTTTGTTGGTCTTAAAGGTGCCACTGGACTCAAACTTTGTTCTGGATCTTTCCGGTTAAAATCTAGCATGCACCCTAAGAGAATCAGCTTCAGGAGCAAACAGTTCCATCCTGTCCTGTACCCAGAATAGTTTTTACAAGCTGGAAAAAAACACCTTGATGTGTAACCCCCACCCCATCCCACAGTGGCTTTTGTCGGTATGTCTGCACACAATATTCATTATTTAATAAACTTAATTGATAGCCCACCTTTCTTGCTAAGATTCAACGCAGATTAATTGGCATAAGAAGATGGAGTGTCTACTAACACCCCCTAGTGATGAGGTCACAGACCCCAGCCAAGATTTCTGGTTTGATTGGTTATGATGAATTTTATGATGGATTTTAATTGTACTTTTATGCATTTGTGTAAGCCTGCCTTGGTAGGGAGGGAAGGGTATAAATGGAATAAAATAAATAAATAAGAGGATCCCAAATTCTGCACAAGAGACCAGATTATTTGTTGGCATGGAATGGGTGGATAGAACACGCACAGGCTTGCTTCAAAGGTTAATGGATTCGGGGCACGATTCTGAACTGGTTTGCTTCTCCTCTCTGTCCTCCTCTTCCTCTTGCTTCCCCCGCCACGTCGGCAGGAATCCAACAGAGGAAAGAACATGATCTGGACAGCCAAAAGAAAGCCAAGGACTTTGGCCGGAGCATTCCACGGATCTCCCCGGATCAGGGATCAGATGTTTACCTTCTCAGGAAGATGGTGGAAGAAGTCTTTGATGTGCTTTATAGTAAGAAACCATCTTGATCTGTTTCCGTTTGCCTTCCCCTGAATTTGCTTTCCGCTGTGGTGTGTACTTGGTTGGCATTTGAGGGTGTTCTGAAGCTATCCGTTCCCATGCGTTACGTTGGGCTGGAGTGCACAGCAGACCAAGGTAGCTTTAGACGACATTATGGAGCCTCCATGGTTCCTGTCGTCAGTTGACCCCACTAACGGAGTAGCTGCAGTACCGGTTCTGGCCATCTGCAGTGGTGGCGCCCAAACACTGAATATCATTGAGGAATTTCAGACAGACGATATAATCTGGAACAGGAACGGTTCCCAAACGGTTTCTGGTCTGTCATTTCAGACAGAACCGTTTTAGAACCGGTTCCCTACTGGAATATATTTGTAATTTCAGACACAAACGCTTCTGTCCCATTTAGGAAATGGGGCTGAAGCGTTTTACCTGTCAACCGCTTCCAAGTAGTCTTCAGTTTCCTTTCCCGGTTCTGATGCGCTTTTTCCCGCTGTTTTTCGCCCGCATGGGCGATCTCCAGCTTTTTAAAAAACGTTTGCTTTATAGCGTTATAGCGCTATAACGCAACAGCATTATATCAACCCCGTTGAAATGCCTGGAGTATTTTTGTTATAGTGCTATAGCGCTCTAAAGCAAATGTTTTTTTTTAAAAAAAGCTGGAGATCGCCCGCACGGGCGAAAAACGGCAGGGAAAAAGCGGTGCAGTCTGAAATGGCAAACCACTTCAGATCCAGCTCTTTACCAGAAGGGGAAAGCAATGTGTGAAATGGCAGCCCTATACCGGTTTACTCCACGGCGGATCAAAAACGGCTTCAAAACGGGTTAAAAAGGGTAAAGTGAAATTCCTCACTATGTTTTCAGTTTATGTTTTATCTAAGATGCTCCCATCCTCACAACAAACCCATGAGGCCGAGGGAGAAAATGATCGATCCACGGTCAGCCACAAACTCTTTCAGCTGAGAAGGGATTGGGAACCCTGGTTTCCCCTGTCTGCACTCTAATGTGCCAGACTGGCAGAACAGGAACAACTCCTTCTAGCTGAATTGCCAGTGTAGAATAAAGCTCCTGACTCTTAAATTGTGTCTGATGGTTACTCCTTTCTATTATAATTAATACTTTATAGAAGTTCTCCAGTATTCAAAATGCTTCCTGTGCTTTACTGGAACAAGAAATAATTCAGTGACATCTCAAAGGCTATTTGTTAGGTATTTATTATAAGTCTGTTTACCGTGGCAAGAGCTTTTATGCTATCCATCTCTCAGCGCCTGGCAAACAGAGGTTCCAATCCTCAAAGATTCACGCACCATTTAACCAGTTAACTTTCAAAGCAGTAGAAGAGTCCTTGTCACTTTGCCAAAACAGAAAGTTAATGTGGTGGTGGTAGAAAGTGCTGTCAAGACACAGCTGACGTCTGGCAACCCTGTAAGGTTTTCAAGGCAAGAGGTGGACATTGCCTGCCTCTGCATACCAACCCTGGTCTTCATTGGTGGTCTCCCATCCAAGTACTAACCTGGGACGACTCTGCTTAGCTTCCAAGATCTAACAAGATTGGGCTAACCTGGGCCATCAAGGGCAGGGTTATTAAGAACATAAGAACATGAGAGAAGCCAATGTTGGATCAGGCCAATGGCCCATCCAGTCCAACACTCTGTCACACAGTGGCCAGAAATACCAGGTGCCATCAGGAGGTCCAGCAGTGGGGCAAGGACACTAGAAGCCCTCCCACTGTTGACCCCCCCCCAGGCACCAAGAATACCGAGCATGACTTGCCCCAGACTGAGAGTTCCTATCTATACCTTCTGGCTAATAGCCACTGATGGACTTTTGCTCCATATGCTTATCTAACTCCCCCTTGAAGCCGTCCATGCTTGTAGCTGCCACCACCTCCTGTGGCAGTGAATTCCATGCATTAATCACTCTTTGGGTGAAGAAGTACTTCCTTTTATCTGTTCTAGCCCGACTGCTCAGCAATTTCATGGAGTGCCCCACAAGTTCGTGTATTGTGAGAAAGGGGGGAAAGTACCTCTTTCTCTACCTGCTCTATCCCATGCATAATCTTATAAACCTCGATCATGTCAACCCCTCAGCCGTCGTTTCTCCAAGCTAAAGAGCCCTAAGCGCTTTAACCTTTCCTCCTAGGGAAAGTGTTCCAACCCTTTGATCATTCGAGTTGCCCTTGTCTGCACTTTTTCCGCTATAATATAATATTCATTAAAACATTTATGACCTGCCTTTCCTTTTGGTTCAAGGCGTATTTCAGATGGGTGGGTGGGTGGGGGGTCAGTGGCTGAGCTGTGGCTTGTGCTCACATTCTGATGCGTCACGTCTGTTCCCAGGCGAGGCCTTAGGGAAGAGCAGTGTGGTGCCCCTACCGTATGAAAAGTTCTTAAAAGAGCCCGGGTCACTACTGGTGGTTGGATTGCCTGAGGGACTCACCTTCCGGAAGCCTACTGAATACGATGCGAAATCTCTGATGGCCATTTTGGAACACAGCCACAGTATGCGGTTCAGGCTGAAAAGGTAAGAGGGGAGTTGGGTAGGGGTGTATAGCTCCTGCTTAGCACGAGGAAGGTCTCTGGTTCGGTTCCCAGCATCTCTGCGGAACGTAGTCTACTCTGAACAGTGCTGAGCTAGATGGATAGGGTCCAAGTCAGTATGAGGCCATTTGATATGCTTGTGTCTACGTTAACTTTTTATTCAGCGTCACCGAATGTGCCCGACCAATGATTTGAGCATCCAAGTTGGCTTTGGACTTCAGATGTAAAGTCTCAAGGTGCTGACTTCAAATGAGTCCGCTCAGTGGATAGGGGTGCTGGGGTTTTTTATGAACACAACTTTCATGCCTTTAACGACTGCATGGCTCGCAGAAATCGAGAAAGTTTGTTTGGCGCCACCTCGTCTCCACCCTGGGAAATGCTTCCGTTTGTTGATTTCTACCTGTTATGTCACTGTTAATGCAGAGAATCTCTACCCTCCTGTCTCAGTGATTTTGAGGGTCAGACTAGAAGTGAGAAGATAAAAGACTGGTCAGCAAATCTTCTTCTGTGTAACCATAAATAGCAATTTTGGGCACTCTGATTTGGGTGGAAGTTGTGGCATGGAGTGTTGAGGTTGAAACACACATTTCTCTGCATGCCATTTTTACGACCTCACGTGCTTGTGTATTTTTGCCCCTCAGAGATAACTGGTGTGCTTGGAGATGATTGAGATCACAAAAATAGTGCAGGGTGTAGAAGTGAACGCCCCTACCCATATATGCCACAGCCCCAGTCTGAATGCCCCACACAACTGCTACATAGTTTTGTTTTTAAGTGGCAGAGGAAGAGAAGAGAGATTGGATTTATACCTTGCAATTCACTTGGAGTTTCAGAGCAGCTTACAATCTCCTTCCCTTCCCCTCCCTACAACAGACACCTTTTGAGGTCGGTGGGGCTGAGAGAGCGCCACGAGAACTGCTCTTGAGAGAACAGCTCTGAGAGAACATTGACTGACCCAAGGCCACCCAGCTGGCTGCATGTAGAGGAGTGGGGAATCAAACCCAGTTCTCCCAGATTAGAGTCCGCTGTTCTTAATCATTACACCAAACTGGCTGCCAGAGCCATTTATAAAGCTCTCATTTGCAGGGGTCATTTCATAGAAAAAGAGATGCAGGAGCTAATTAGCATAACGTATTTGCATATGCCACACCCCCTGACATCACTGGAAGTGTGTCAGAAGGCAACACCCACCACTCAGGCTCCACTGGACTGTTTTGGATTGGTAGCTATTGGGGGGGGGAACGTGCAGATCTGTCCTCGCAGAGGAGGGAGAGCTTGTACCTGAATAAAACTTGGTCTTAAAGGTACCACTGGACTGTTTTGGGCCAGGAGGCCAGGGCGGGGGGCTCTGCAGCTTACCTGGCTGCTTCTTGCTCTGACTGAGGGCTGCTGGGAGCAGGGGGTGGGGCTTGTTGCATGTGCCCGCCCCCTGGGCTCTTTACTGCCGGAGCTCCGCTCCTGTGCGCTCCTGCAGGAAATGACCCCTGCTCATTTGGCATTTGGGTGATTTGTTATCAGTACTCCCAATCCTTTTAAGGCCCTTGGCAGCCAGCGTTGATAGAGGTGCTGAAGTGAGTGGCTTTAGCCTTCCATCCCCCATGCCAGAAACAGGGCATGCCCATGGCGGCCGTAAACCAAGATCGTGGGTGTCCCTTCCGGTTATATGACCCTAGCGCCAATACTGAGCCATCCCTCCAACATCAAGATGGACTGAAAGTTTTCTGCCATTTCCTCCTCCTCTCAGGCTCCCCGAGGACTCTCTGCGGGAGACTAACCCTGGCTCGGAAATGAACTCCTCCACCCTGATGTCAAAGGGCAGTCGAGATCCTGGCCTCAACAACATCCACGCCAAACCAGCCAATCAAGATGCCCTTTCTGGGATCACCGCCAACAGCTTCCTGTACGGCATGTCACTACCTGCACAGATCGCCATGGAGATAAAGCAGGAGGGCCCTACCGGTCGGCATGGAGCGAACGCCACCAATGAGATACCGAGGCCCCGGCCGACAGGAGAACCGAAGGTGCCTTCGCCACAGGAGTTCGGTGACTGCTGTGGTAATGGCCTTAATGTTTGCTGTCCAAGGAATGGCTTTGAAAAGACCCCTGAGGCTCCTTGGATTAGAGCTTAATGAAGGGCAGAAACAGGAAGTGTGCCGCTATGGCTTTGATAGAGTCATAGCTCTGCCACCCTTAGCCAAAGCCGATAAGAACGTTGGAAGAGAACTGCCCGACCAGATCAAAGGCCCATGTTTTACCTCGCCCCATTTCCAGTGGCCCGCCAAATTCCCCTGACAGAGCTTAAAAACACGGAGCTCAAAGCATGTCTCTCTTTGTTGCCGACCGGCAACAGGGATACCGTCCCTGAACACACAGGGTGCGTTCAGACGGGGTTTTTACAACGGTTAGGGTGCGGGTTCCAACCGGTGTACTTACGGGCGTTCAGACAGCGAACATCTGCCTCCCGTCCCTAACCGTTGTAAATCCTTTTAAACCGTTGCACTCTGCCACTAGGTCCGAAGTGGTGGTAAACAGAGTGCAATGGTGGCTTCCGAAGAATCCTTCTGTCTGATCGCTCTCCTCCGTTGCACAGCCACTTCCGTCGGAAGCCTGAGGCTTCCGGCTTTCCCCGGCCATTTTTAAAAAAACTAAGCAATATGCGCTTGGGCGAAGCTTCGCCCCGAGCGTTTGTTAAGAAAAAAAAAAAGCTCTTAGTTTAACTTCCCGGAGGAGTCTGGGACTACAGGGAGGCCAGGTTGGGCTTTAAACTTTAAAGGTAAGTGCTTACCTTTAAAGTTTAAATGTAAGGGGGGGGGTTTGAGCATGCGCAAAAATCGCCATTCTCTGAATGGCTGCCTGTGCGCATGCTCAAACTGCTTAAAAAAACAAAAAACGCCGACGCCCGCAGCGTGTGAGCGGGCGTCCAGCGGAGGGATTCACAAAATGGAGGGTGAGTCTGATCGCGTTTCTGCCGGCATAAACTGCACCGGTTCCAACCGGTGCAGTTTATGCCAGCAGAAACGCCCCGTCTGAACGCACCCACAGTGTCATTTTCCTGTCACTGCTGATAGCACCATGTTGGCAATCACTGACCGAGATAGTTCATGGATGAGGCAACATTTGAACGAGAGACCTCCCCGATGACAGCCTAATTTTCTTGGCCACCACATTACAACAGCACTGTATGTGGGTCAGACTTGGGAGCTGGTTCCGGGACCGGGGAGCTAAGAACAAAGGTGGAGTCAAACAAGGCAAGGGTCAAGTCTAAGCAATGGATGGGCCGGTATGAGTTAGACAGGATCCTCAGCTCATCCCCTTAGAAGAGTCGTGCGGATGGAGGGCCGGGGCCTGAGCTCAGGGCTTTGCACCGCTAGCTGGTTGGAGGACGGGTCAGCTGGCTGACGATCTCGGTGCAGCTTTGCCGGAGACATAAAATTTCCAGAGATTTTGAAGCTGTGAGAGCATAAGAACATAAGAACATAAGAGATGCCAATGTTGGATCAGGCCAAAGGCCCATCCAGTCCAACACTCTGTATCACACAGTGGCCAGAAATACCAGTGCCATCAGGAGGTCCACCAGTGGGGCCAGGACATTAGAAGCCCTCCCACTGTTGACCCCCCCAAGCACCAAGATGACAAAGCATCACTTGCCCCAGAGTCCCTATCCATACCTTGTGGCTAATAGCCACTGATGGACCTCTGCTCCATATGCTTATCTAATTCCCTTTTGAAGCCGTCCATGCTTGTAGCTGCCACCAGTTCCTGTGGCAGTGAATTCCAAGTATTAATCACTCTTTGGGTGAAGAAGTACTTCCTTTTATGCTCCCTCTAAGCTGTGGAGTCTTGTGAGCAAAAATTACACTTTGTGAGCTGCCGGCATTAAAGTTGGGAGCGAGCGATTTGGCTGCTGCATCAATTAGTTTGCTCTGGAGCCCTCCTTCCTGAGCGAAGGCAAAAATGTGTGAGCCGGAGGCTAAAAAACTGTGAGCCGGCTCACACTAACGCAGCCTAGAGGGAACACTGGCCGTGAGGGGAAAAAAGAGTCTCTTTGTGTGTGTCCCCCCCCCCCGAATATAAAGGAAATTTGGGGGGAAATCAGATCAAAATTTCAGTGCAACATTTCATTTCCTATTTTTACCTGCTTTGCTACTTAAATGACATAAAATGCATCGATTATAATTTAGTAAGTGAAAAGTATATATGCTTTAATTTTTGCAAAAGTGCAATCATTCCCAAATTCCAAAATGAGAGAGAGAGCTGCAAACTACTGTGGTCTGTGTTATTACATTTTACTTAGTAGCTGGTGGTATAATCCAAACGGCATACTTCACACCTAGATCTCAGTTGCGTAGCGGACACAGAGTCCAGCTGCTGGGCATCCTGATTTGAAACCCTGCCGCTTGGAGCCTTTCAGACCCGGTTCCAGGGTATATCTGTAAGGTTCATAATGCTGAGGCTAAGCCGGTCTGGGACTAGCCAGTGCCCGGCTGGGAAACCTCCTGGGAACGCCAGGTACACTGCCTTGGATGAGGGAAGCAAACTATGGCATATACCGCACATCGATCTAATAATTAATACAGTTAAGTCCAGGGCAAGCTCTGAGGCCGGGGCTTTATGGGTCACGGTGGAAAGAGATTGGCCTTTAGGGTCAAGTGACTGAATGCTGTGTCGGGGGGCATGGCTGGCCCTTGAGGAAGATGGCCCGTTGTTCAAAGATGGTGGCTGAAAAATACCTCTAGTGGTGCAGGAGATATGGTGCTGGACATTGGTCTCTGAAGGCCTTATTTTAAGAGCCCCTCCTAATAACTTATACTGCTGGGCAGATCACAATAGATCCTAATCCATTTGGAATTAGGTGATACATATGTGAAGGCACTATCATCATCATCAACAACAACAACAATAACAACATTTATAAACCACTCTCCACTCTCCACTGAAGGGCTCAGGGCAGTGTATATCATAGTAAGCGCAGTAACAATTAAAACAGTGGATAAAATTAGGGCGATTTCTCACTAGAGCTGCCTCGCAGCACAGCGCCGTTTGCCCCAACACATGATCCTCAAAACCAGGATCACGAAACTGCGGAGGAAATCAGGCGAAGCACCGAGTCAAAATGTAGCCCCGGAGCTTCGGGTGTGAAATTGACATGTTTGTGTCGGGGCAAACGGCGCTGTGCTGCGAGGCAGCTCTAGTGAGAAATCGCCCTTAGTAACAATTAAGCAATTAAAACAATATATAATATAACATACAGTACACAGTCAATGGCACACAAGTCACTTTGCTCCCCCATGGGGTGAAACACCCATAGGGAGGTTGATAAAGCAGATAGAGACCGTGGTCAGGAACCGCTGCTGTACTCAACCATAGGCCTGGTGGAATGTCTCTGTTTTGCACGCCCTGCGGAACTGAGCAAGGTCCTGCAGGGCATGGATGTTACTAGGTAGAGAGTTCCACCAGGCTGGGGCCAGGGCTGAAAAGGCCCTGGTCGAGGACAGCTGGACTTCTTTTGGGCTAGGGATCACTAGTAAGTTATGGCCACCCAATCGTGAAGCTCTTCGGGGGGCATACCGGGTGAGGAGGTCCCGCAGGTTCATTGGCCCCAGGCCATTAAGGGCTTTGAAGGTCAAAACCAGAACCTTGAAGTGGATCCGGTACTCAACTTGGAGCCAGTGCAGGTGGCGAAGCATAGGTCGAATATGTGCAGACATTGGGGTGCCTGTGAGCGCCCTCGCTGCTGCATTCTGAACAAGCTGTAATTTCCGAATCAGCCTCAAGGGTAGCCCTACATAGAGCATGAATTCCCAGCAGCCTGCGTGATCTTTCTTGCTCAGTTAATCTCTGCAACAGCCGCACTGAATATACGTGCACCTCTTTCCC